TTATATTTTGAAAAACACACTGTTTAATCTAATCTGTTAACTCTGTTAAGAATTTCTCATATACTAAGAAGAATATAAAAAACTTAATTTTTATTAGAATTTATATGAAAACAAAATTTATCTAATTTATCACTCACTCTAACAAATCCCTAAATTGATTAAAAAATTATTTTTAATTATAACTTATGTGAAAATAAACTTTATTTACTAATTTACCCCACTTTAGTATATCTCAAAATTATATTATTACTTTTATGATTACATGAAATTTGTTTAGTAAATAAAAAAGAAAAGAGTTTAAAAGTTATTATTAGGTTTGTTTAAACTTTTCAAGATTATCAGTATTTGAAAAAAAAAAATATTTCTGACAATTTTAAAAAATTACTTTAAATAGCTTTTGAAAATAATTAAATGCAATAACTGAGGCAAAATATCATTAAAAATGCAGGATACATAAAGATATTGTAAAATTTTTAGAATAATCAAATAATAAGTTGTTTTTATAAAATAAAAATCAATGAAGATATCATAAAATTTTTAAAATAACTAATTAATAATTACTTTTTTTATCATCATAACCAGCCATAAAATAATATGTTTTTTTATAAAATACTTATGAAATTAATCTATTTTTATAAAATCTCTGAACTACTCAAAATTATTTATTTTTAATCTTATACCAACAGGCTCATAATTTAACTCTCAATTTTCACCCATCCTTTACAAAAGACAACTTCATGTTTTATTATCCTTTGCTATGACTATAAATAATAGCTTGAGTCAAAGCATATATAGTGTTGTGTTATACTTATTAATGCCTGTTGTTAGACATTGTTAACTATATGTTGTTATATCTTAGGCGTGAAATAGATAATAGTTGAAGATGTTAATTTTTAATGTAGATAATAAACTCACAAATGTTTTTTTTTTTTGCCAAAAAACTCATAAACGTTACTTCTTACGCAGTGTGCAAGGAGATTTTTAATAATCAAATTTATGTATGGTAGCTACCTATTTCTTGAGGTCCTGTACTTTTATATATATTTTTTTAATTTTTATCTATCTTTCTTTATTTTGTGAAACAAATCGTTGCATCCATTTTATTTCTGTATTTAAAATTTTTCTATGATGTTATCCCCCTACATTATTTACTGGTCGACAAGTTATTCCTTGCTTTTTTTTTTTTTTTTTACTCCTATAGGGCATGTTCGTTTCATCTTATTTCTTATTTTATGAAAAAAAATATTTTTTTAAAAAAATTTAATTTTTGAGTTTTTATGATATTTGTTTAAACTTTTAAAAATAATTAGAAATAAAAAAATAATTTTTTGATTATTTTAAAAAGTCATTTTGAATAATTTTTGGAAATAATATGATGTGAGATAAAAGAGAATATTTCAAGAAGGTGAAATATATGAAAATGTCATAAAATTTTAAAATAATTAAATAATAAATTATTTTTATGAACATAAATTAAAGAAGATATCATAAAATTTAAAGGGCCCATTTATTTAAGATTAAAAAATTAGTAATTTTTAAATAATTTAAAAATTGTATAAAAAGAGATTTATTTTGTAGAAATTTTATAGCAGATATTATTTTATGTTTAGTTACAATCATAAAAAAAAGTAATTTTTAGTTAGCTATTTTTAAATTTTATGACATCTTTCTCAATTTTTTTTATAAAAATAATTTTTTATTATATTATTTTAAAATTTTGTGATATTTTTGCATATCTCATCTATTTCAAATATTCTCTCTCATCTACCATATTAAAATATTTTCATAAGCTACTGAAAGTAGTTTTTAAAATAATTAGATATTTGCTTTTTTTAGATTCTTATTTTTTAAAAAAATTTAAACGAACATAATAAAAACTCACAAAATAATTTTTTTCAAAAAATAAGTAATTTTTTTTTGAAATGAAGTAAAACAAGCAAGCTCAAAAATAACTAACTAATAATTATTTTTTATTATTATAATTAAACATAGAATAATATCTATTTTGTTATAAAATTTTACAAAATAAATCTTTAAACTATCTAATACTTATTTTTTAATCTTAAACAAACGAGTTTATAACTACTTAAAATGTATTGATTACCATTATTTAACATTTAAAAGAATTTGTAAAAATAACATCCCATGTAACTTACTGCTGATCAACTAGTTTAATTAAAAGGGTAAAGAAGATGTGTTTTTATTTGTTAATGTGAAATAATCATATAACTATAAGTATACCTTTTATATATATATATGTATGTATGTATGTATGTATAAGAAATATATTATGTTGACAGTTGAGAATATCTATCTCGATGTAATGAGAGTATTGAGATAAGTATAAATATTGAGAGATTAAAAGGTGAATATTAAACCGTGTAAGAACATAGACCCGTATCCATGGAACATTATAAAAGAAATGAACTTAAATAGTCCGAAATATACTTTGGAAGGCAGCATATTTGTTTGGGCGAAAATGATATACTGCTTTCATTAAAAAGTATAAGATATTTTTAATAAAATTTCACCCATCAATAAATTAGTTATTTACTTTTCAATTAATCCTATCTTTTTATATTTACCTTCATTAAACACCCTACAATGAAAATAAAATTATTATCAATAGATACACTTCAAAAAAAAAAAATACAATGATTATATCTTGAAAGATTAAAAATACCTTATATTTTTAAATATTTAACTCTTTAAAAAATATCCTATATTTTTAAACGAAGGGAGCAGGTCTTAAAAGATATTGATATTTTCTGCCGAAATATGTTTATTTTAAGGTTTCCCTAATTATTTTTTATTTCTTTCAGCGTAAGTGGAAAAATCCTGTTAATAAAATAAACGGGGGAACTTACTTAGTGTTGTAATCTCATTAAGTCATAATTAAAGAATTAAGTTGAATATCAGAGGCAAATGTTTCCTTTGAAGTTTAAACACCTGATCAAATTGCGTCCATCTTCGGTGCTCGACAGTACTTATCACCCATACTTTTTAAATTTAAATTTGAATTTAAATTTTATTAAAATAAAAATTCATGAATTTTTTTAATAAATTTTATTTTAGACAGTTCAGATTTAATATTACATTTTTATTTGCAAGGTCCAGATTTAATTTTTTTTATTTTTATTTTATATTTATTAAAATAAAAAAATATTTAATATTGAATCTGTTTTATACATAGTTCATCTAGATAGTCAATTTATAAAGTTTATAATATTAAATTGAGCCACTCAAATTAAATTATTATTGTCCAGATTAATGATGAACATATTTATAAAAAATTATGAATTTTTATTTTTAAAATTAAAATTAAAAATCTGGGCCTCAGATTGAAAGGCCCAGATTTTTTTTTTAGGTGATGCACGGATCCGATCAAACTAGAGCATGCAAGCATGCCATGTGACTGCCACCTGTAATTGTTTAATTTGCCTATGAAATATATTTCTAAAAACTTATATAAATCGCTAGTTTACAATGAGGGAGATGCGTCCTAGTTCTTTTGAATAACTATTCAGTACAATACTTTAATATTCCTTTATAAAATTCATCACCCTTTCTGTTAATCGGAATTTCTTGAGTAGAAATAATATGTAGATTTAACAATTTCTTCTAATTATAACTCATTTATTATATAATATTTGCATATTGTTATTTATTAGTGCCCACCTAGCCGTTGGCTATCTTAGTCTTAAATCAAAATATTGGATGATTAATATAGGATAGAGTGTATATCTCATTGCTACCATACTTTTTTCACATTATACTCTCTCTAAAGTTCAGAAATTAAACATAAATGTAAGATATTTGTTTCAATTAAGAAGGCCTCTTATAGATATGAAGAAGCTTGAATTATTCGATCATTATTATCGAAATATAAAATGTATCATAAGTCACATCTTAAGAGGCCGTGAACAATGTTCTTTTCTCAAACTTTATCTGATATAAAAAGGACTCATCTATTGTATATAAGCCAAAAATTATAAATATTAATACAAACATTAAAGACAAAGTTCTTTTTTTTTATAAAAATGTTTGTAATAAGTAGAAGGCTTCTGTGTGATGACTGGATGTAGATATTATGCATTGCATGAAGCATGAATCAAGTTGTATCGTTTATGATGGTGAAAGTAAAAATATTACTTTAGTCTTATTTATAAAATTTTATTCATCGGTCCTTAATATAAGATTACTTATCAAATTAAAAAAGATATTAGTGAGCATATTTTCAAAAATATCCTTATCTCCGTCACTCTTAGCTAAAATCATAATTTTAGTGTAATTAAAGGTGATCTTGAAAAGTTGTAAACATGTTTAATATTTAATCAAGTTTAACTAATAGTCTTAATATCAGAGAAGTAGTTACAAGTAGTTTATAAAAAAGAACATGAGGAAGCCCATCATAATTAATATGAATATTATACATATATTGAACATGACATAACTGTGTTCCTAAGAGTGTCATATACTTTGTAACTTTATTTTAAAAATATTTAAAAAAGAGAGATAAAAATCCATGCATAAATATAGAAATAAATAGGATCTAATTAACTTTAAGACTGAATAGAAAGAATTTATTTTGGTTTGAGTACGGCGCAGGTTATTCCAGTGAGTTGTCCAATTCAAGCTACAGCACTGAGATGTCCAAGCCTCCAAGGTACAGGATCCTTAAATAGGAGGGCTCTACTGGAACCCAACAAATACAAGTCTTGTCCACGAATGCTTCCTGCATGTGATATTGGGATTCATCCACATGGTTTCTGATCTACCCCGTCCCATTTCCCACGTTAACCCACGCCTGAAATTACCACAATACCCTCCGATCACAACCTTACATCACCCATGGGGACGCCTCTCAACTGCCTCGCGCTCTGCAAGTGACCACAACATCCCCGGCAAATGCTACTTGGTAAAAGATTGTATATAGAGATGAGGAGATTATGCTGTTCATTGACAATAAGCCATTTCTATCAAGTGGACCAGTAAATGCAGTACAGTATCACAGGTCAGGAAAAATAACTTGATACAGACAACAAGAACACTAGATCTGCTTTTATCTTTTGTTGTTGATTTCTCCCAAGTGATTGGATGAGATGGGAAAGACCAGGAAATGGCTAAGAAACTTGTTGATGTCCCAGAAGAAACACGAGGAAAAAGAGATGAGACAATGTGGAGAGAATGATCAGATTTCTTCAACTGCCTCTGAAACGCCAACCCCAAAAGAGAAACGTAGATGGAGTTTCCGTAGGCCTTCAAATTCCAAGCAACTCAATTCCGCAGAAACCAACGTGACGGTCTCACCGACATTACCAGTACCACCAGGTGCCACAGATGCTGATCAAAATTTGCAGAACAGCCACTTGGCTATTATCATCACTTCCAGCATCACAGCTGTGAGTACTGAAGATGCTGCTGCCATTAAAATTCAATCTGCTTTTCGGTCTTACTTGGTATGTTATTTTCTGCTAAGGACCTATCATTCATCAGCACTGTGATTCTTTGTCTGTGTTGTGATTTCTGCGGTGAATGAAAAACAGGCAAGAAAAGCATTGGGTGCTCTGAGAGGAATAGTGAAGTTGCAGGCATTAGTAAGGGGAGAGTTGGTGAGAAAATGGGCTTCGGCTACTCTTAGACGCATGGAAGCTTTATTGACAGCACAAGCCAAAGCTTGTGCTCTGAGGATCCGAATGGCATCAGAAGCGAAGTCTAATCAGAGACATTCCACTTACCACAGAAAAGCACCAGGCAACTTGATAAGGCATGTGTATGACTTTGATGTGAGTTCAAAATCTATGTCTACTCATCCTCCCATTCAATTTGATTCTGTTTCTCTGCTCTGTCTTTTGAATCTGATAAACAAGAACCTGTAGTTAAAAAAACTGATAACTTACAGTTCTAAGTAATTGCTGATTTGTGCTGTTAAGTCTGCAATGAACTCGGTATGCCATAATGGGGTTACTATCAACATCTATTAACCTGGATTTTAAATCTGGGTTTTTGTGTAACTAGGAAATTGACATGGAATTGGAAGAGAACATCAAAATTGTGAAGGTGGATGCTTATGGATCAAAAGACAGCGGCAGAAGCAGAAATAACACCATAAATTACACTCAGCACAATGGTTCTGAGCAGAGTTTCTCAGCACATTATCCCACATATGGTTCATACTCAAAAGAAGAAGACCACAAGGCATCTCCAGCCCCATCAGCACAGAGCAGCCGTGCATCAAAACCTGATGATAAAAAGCTTCTTTTTACTTCCCCAGTGACCTCCTCTCACAACTCATCAGTCCCAAATTATATGGCCAACACAGAATCATCAAGGGCCAAATTCAGATCAAATAGTGCGCCCAGGCAAAGACCAGACTCCTTTGAGAGGCAATTAAGCAGGCCCAGAGCTTCAATGGAAACAAGAAATACTGGTCACAGACCAGTCATGCAGATGAGAAGGTCGTCTTCACATGTAGGTGCTGTTGCTCAAAACTACCAATACCTAAGCTCAATCAAACTTGACAGATCCGCTGCTTCACTGATAGAAAGTGTGTGTGGTTCTACCAGCACGGTTCTCACAAATATTCAGTACTGCAAATCTCTTGTTTCATATAATGTGAGCAGTTACAATCTCGTATGACAAATTTTTATCAAATTAGAGTTAAGATTATATGATTTTCACTTCTGATCAGGTTTTGTCTTTGCTTTTGTGTGAAAATGCAGCCTCATGAAGATAGGTACTACTGACAATGCTCTACGGCAACAACAAAGTGTTACTGCATTTTATTGGTAGACTTGAACTGTATTTTTACAAATCCATGGCAATTGTAGTGTAGTTTAACCTATATAGACTTGTTTGTTCTGTTCTATCACTCGCAACTTGGATAGCAAGCAGTGTTTGTAACATCCCTATTTTTTACTTCAAGAATTTAAGTAACATAAGAATATGGTTTATTCAATAAATTGAAATTTAGGTTAATTTAATTTATGTTGTCCAAGGTATAAAGGCACATATGATTATGATTTAATGAAATAGAATATGAAATTGAGAAAAATCCTAATCAAGATAAATTGACTGTAAATGTTTCTTAAAATATCAAATTATTATTTTATGAAAAAGCAGTAAAAAATTAAAGGGAGTAAATATTTTATTAATGTTGTTGTGTTTGAAGTGATTGTTTCTTGGTAATTAAAATTTACCAAATAATTATATGAGGAAAGAGAATTTCTCTTAGAAGAGTTAAATTTTAACAACATAGTATCAACTCATGATATTTAAAAAAAGGAAAAATAATAATAAGGTCAAGTGAGATTAAATAAAGGGTTAAAGGTCAGTTTTGCCCCTGTACTTATTTTTTGGGAGCGCTGGGTATCCTATACTCTTGAGTAGGACAAATTTACCTCTGAACTATTTTTTAAAGGAGCAAAAACCCCCTTTTATTAATCAACCATCAATTTTTTTATTTTTTGCTGATATGGTATGTGCATGAGGCCCACCTTTGATGCTAATTTGCCTCTGAATTCTTTTTTTAGGAGCACTAAGCACCCTAAAATTTTTTTTCTTGGAGTGTTGGACACCCTAAAATCTTGTTAAAATAAAATTGAATAAATATTGTTAAAATATTGAGTATTTTAATATTTAATAATTTTGAATATTATTATTACTATTAACCCAAAAAAGTACAAAGAATATTAAATTTAGGTAATATTTTGAAAGAAGATCATTAGTTGATAAAAAAAAATTAAAGAACTTAACTAATATTAAAAATATAAGTAAGTTTCGACACACAAAAAAGGCATAACAATTTGGATATTATATCAAAGAGAAGATCGAAAATTGATATATAAAAAATAAGAAACCATCTATAAATTTATAAAATGCTAGCAGAAATAATATTTAAATATAAAAAATATTAAATTGGGTAATGTAATGTTTCAAATAATATGTAAATTATTAAATATTAAAATACTTAATATTTTAATAATATTTATTTAATTTTATTTTAACAAGATTTCAGAGTGCCCAGTGCTTCAGAAAAAAGACTTTAAAATACTTAATGCTTTTAAAAAAAGAGTTTAGGAGCAAATTAGCACTAAAAAACATGCCACGTGTTACATATCACTATATGTGAGGCCCACGCACATGTCATGTCAATAGAAAATGAAAAAACTGACAGATTGATTAATGGAAGGGAGTTTTCGTTCTTTCAAAAAATAGTTCAGGAATAAATTTGTCCCATTTAAGAGTATAGGGTACCCAATGCTTTCGAGAAATTAGTACAAAGGCAAAAATATCCTTTAACCCTTAAATAAATTATGTGAATAATTTCTCACTTAAAAAATTATATTTATTTAGATATTATAAAAATATATATTTAACTAAAATATAGAAGTTAAGTGTACTCATTTGAATTTTATGATAACTTTAAAAATTATAGAAGATTATTTGAGGATTTATAAGCTCAAGATACAAGATTTTTGGTGGAAATGAAAAATTTTAGAGCAAATTAAGGATGGGCCAAAAAAAATGAAATGAAAAAGTAGTAAGATGTTTGAAATTTTATTATATTATAAAATACATATAACGTATCATCTAATATGTTAGCTTATACATTATAATAATATTAATATATAAAGAAAAAAAGTGAACGTGGGCCATGGCCCACTAGAAATTTGGCAATTAAATTGCGGAACGCTACTCTCACACACACACACACAGGGAATGATATTGCCCTGACGCCTCCACTCTCGTCTTTCTTGCGAGCAACGCAGACATGGGGGGAGAGGAAACCGAGAGTAAGCTGCTATGAAGGTTATGCTTCCGCAATATGATATTTTCGAAGTGATTTAAAACTTTCTAAAACTAGTTAAATTTTCCAAATATTTTTTCTAAACATGTTTTCTTCCTTATTTTCTGAATCTTTAAACAATGGAAGGATTGGGATTTCTATAATTTTGAAATTATGTTAGTTCTAACTGATTAATTTGAGTTTAAATATCTTAATAATGTTAAATTAAGTGTTTAATCGGCTTAAATTTGTTGGATTTGATGATTTGAAGGATTTGAGGTTAGGGTTTGATGTTAAAGGTGGTTAATGGCGATTAAGTTTTGTAAACTTGAAATTAAAGGTTAAATTATGATTATATTTATGGAATTGAAGTTTATTCAGTTTATAATTTTTAGCTTAAATTTAATTGTGACTTTGAGCTTGTTGAAAGAACCTAAAATTGAGGAATTGGGGATTAAGTGGACAACGGGTTTGGTTAGGCTCAATGGAGTCTGTATCAAAATTTTCTAGTAAAATGAGTTTTGGGGTTTTTTAACGAAATGGGTAAGTACAAAAATTATGTTTATGATGGAGAAATTGATAATTTTGAATTATCTAAATTGTAAACTAATTTTTCTTAAGCTTTTGGAGCAATTGGAAGTATCGATTTGCAAAGGTTTCATATATGTTTTTTTGAGTAACTCAAGAGGTGCAGATAACTAAAAACATAAATTCCCTCGCATGTATATTTTAAGTGTTTTTGGTTTTATGAAATTGTTAAATGGATATTTAAATATAAATATACTTCTTTGATGTTTTAGAAAATGTGTAAAGTGAGCATGAGTTAGATTGTTCAAAGTAGTGGATAAATTGAGTATATTGTGTTATACTAAAGGTTATGAGAATGATTTAAACATGTTTGAAAGTTGTCGTTGAGAAAAATGCATATGCTTATGAAATTGAGTATGGTGTATGGAAAGAATGATAATGTGACACATGAAAATATATCATTATACGTGCATGTATTGGTGAACATAATGACATGACTGTAAAAGTAAATTAGATGGGAATTCACTCTAGATAGAAGATTGTTATACTATAAGTTCACATGATATAGACACCATTTAGGTAACTTCTAGTGTTGGATAGCTATGGCGCATGCTCCAATGAGAGTTTGGTATGGTTTTGGCTTAGCCAATATTATTGGCAATGATTATAACACCCTACTAGAATTCAATTTAGTAAGGGAGTTCATAGTTCAAATTGGATGAGCGATAAACTTTGATCAGGTTGCCCCTCTAACATTGAAAATCTTGAGCAGATCTAATCACATAAATTGCGTAACATCCTGATTTTTATATAATAAAGAAATCGTGGAATTTAGGTTTTAAGGAAAAAAATGATAATAATAAGAATTTATGTTATTTGAGGTTATTTAGAAATAATATTATGGTTAGGTATTTAATTATGAATTTAAAAATTTAAATTTAAAACCACATAAGCAATATTTAGTTAAGATATATACATAAATAATTTTTTTTATGTGTGTGTTAAAAAAAAGAAGAGAAGGTAGAAGGAACAAAAAAAAAGGGGTGGAAGGTTATTGTTCTAAGTCCCACATTGGTTAGATATGGGAAGAGAAGATGTGCCTTCATGTATAAAAAGGAGGGGGTATGTGCATTAGGAAGCATGAAGGGCTAAGATGCAATTTGGAGGAATTTGCAACTTTTGGCTCAAGAGTTTGAATAATTGTGGGACCCACAATTCTATTTTTATATTATTTTTCTCTCTTTCTCTCACGTTGCTTGGTGTGTTCTTGCAAGGGGATTATTTTCTTTTTTTTTTTCAGGTATGCTCCAACTTTTTTGTTTAGATTAGCATTTAAAAAATTATTTAATTACAAAATTAATTTTATAATTATTTTCTAAACAGTATTAGCTTTCTAGTGATATGATTATTTTGTAGAATAGAGCAAATATTTTGATTAGGATTTTCTATGAGATAGTTAATCTGATGATATGATTGATTAAAAATATAGGTTAAAGTTTTTAGAGATATAATAAATATTATAGAATATTTTCTTGAGGTTGAAACTCATGTTTAAGAATTTTTGAGTTAAACTCTAGATCTATATGGTTGAATTTATGTTGAATCTGAGATGTAGAGATGAACCTCTGATTATTAAATATTTATTTAAGTATGGATGGGTATTTTTGAGGTTATAGAAAGGTGATTTGAGGCTTTAAAATAATTCTAAAATTTTTAATTTATTTTTGGACAAATTTTTAGAATATAGAAGGATGAAATTGTGATACTAGAAGTAATTTGAGACTTAAAAAATAGTTTATTAGGGTACGAGAATTTTAAAAAAGAATTTGAGAAGTTAAATGAGGCATAAATCTTAAATTAGTATTAATATAGATTATAGATCTAAGACTTTCAAACTCTTTAAATTAGAGTTATTTATTTTAATGTAAAATTAATATATAGTATTATGAAATAACTATGTAGATTGTGTTGACAAAGATATTGGTGAAAGAGGAGTTGTGAAGGAGAACTTGTTATTCAAGACACAGGATAACCATTATTAATGTGTTGTGATGAGTGTGTTTGTGAATGGTTATGTGTTATTTTGTTGTTTGGAAAAAATTGTGAATTATTGAAAATAAATACTGTTATATACATGTTTGAAATTATTGCCAAGTGGGTTAAAAATTTTTTTATTTATCATAATGAGATATTATTGTTCAGATATATTCTTGTTTGGATATTTAAATAATACATGACTTGTCAGGGTATTTTAATATATGGTGTTATTGGAAATTTCTGTTCGGTTAATTATTACCACGTGGCAAGCCCTCACTGGACCCAATGACTGGTGTGTCGCTTGATCCAATTCACCTTTGGCTGGGTGATTTGGCGTCCGAGCATGGCGAAAGGAGGATATAAGGTGTAGTCATGCAATTAAATACTTGTTCGGTTTGTTTGGAAATATTGTTCGATTAAATATTTTTGTGTGCCCACTTAGTAATCGCATGATTAGTTACATCCACATGTAT